ATAAAAAGTATAGAAACTGCAGGCATTTTTCAAAATAGTAGTATATAATAATGAAAATATAAATCACTCCAAATTATATTATCCAAAGATAACTTCTAGTAACGTTCAGTGTGGTTAACTGCTAGTTAACATAAATATTGGCCTCTTTCTCTCAAAGTGCTGAGGGCTCACTCTACCAGCTGAGCTATAGCCTCAGTTAGGCTTATCAAGCTTTTATCTTACTCATTCATTCATTCTATACATATATCCATAGTATACGTATTTATTGTATGATCGTGCATGTGCCACAGCATGCGTGTGGAGGCAGGCCCGACTTTACCAACTGAACTATGTCCCCAGCCGGGACAAATCAAGGTTTTATTTTATGTAATCAATCAATCAATCAATCAATCAATCAATCAAATAATCAGTCAATTAATTAATTGTGTGTGTGCACGGTCAGCTTGCAGGAGTCAGCTCTCGTCTTCCACTGAGTGGGCCCAGGGGACCCTGTTTTTCTGTGACGGTCTTGTGAAAAGTCTGCTCACCCAATGCCAGCTGAGGGTCATCTGGTCCTCTTTGTGGTGGGTGGTGTTTTTTCAGGCAAGGTCTAACGTAGTCCAGGCTGACCTCAGACTCACCATGTGGTCAGGAATGACCTTGAATCTCCGATGTCCTGCCTCCACTTCCTGAGTGTCAGGATTAAAGCCACCCGCTACCACAGCCAGTTTATGTGCCGCTGGGGGTGGAGCCCAGGGGGTCCTGCATGCTAGGCGAGTGCTCTGCCAACCTAGTCGTGTTCCCTGCTGGCACACGGTCTTTTACAACCGTTAAGTAGTCTACCATAGGAATATGTTATAGCTCTGTCATCTTCTGAGTGGGCTTTTCCCTACCATAAATACCACTGAGAAGAACTATGCAGTGATACATGTAATAATTGCACTGATTATTCTTTTTACTTTTTTGGCAAAAATGACTGGTTGTCAAATTATTCACTGGCTCAATGGATATAAACACTCCAAAGACTCCCATGCTTAATGCCAAATAGCATCTTACGATGCCTGCCTCCTTGACTATTTGTAAAGGCTTGCTTGCCCCTTATATCTTGAAAGAATTACTATTAGTAATTATACCTTGTGCACATCACACTGTTAATACCGTGTCAACTTCCTATAATTAACAAAGAAAACCCAGGGCTTCGGACTGTCTCAGAAAGGGCTTGCCTAACATGTTCAGGGCTCTGGGTTTCATCCCCAGCACCACACATAAGCAAGGCAAACACCCCCCAACCCTTTCCACTTTGTGGAGGCTAACTGACGCTTACCTCTTATGGAAACAGCCTGCAATGGGAGTACGGGTGATTTGGATTCCAGTGATTTCTCTGTGCGCCTACACGTGCCAGGCACCGCGCCAGGTGCTTTTTTTGTTTATTACTGTTGCAACCACACCTTCGGAATGTAGGTGTTCTCCTGTCCCACGAGGCTGTGATACGCTGAGGACATAGTGCTGGCTAGTCTGCAAGATCAAGACTAGTACCCGGTGGCCTGACTAGGAGCCTAGCATTGACCTATTTGCATATTTAAGCCTACCTCCAAGGGCCTATGATATATCTAATATCCATGCGTGTGTACATACTATAACATGTTTAATATATGTATGTATGATATATGTATGCATGCTGTAAGATGAAGACAATTACTCACGGCTTACTAGTTTTCTTTCTTTCTTTCTAAGACTGAGTTTCATGTAGCGTAGGCTGGCTTTAAACCCACTATATAGTTAAGGCGCACCTCGAATTTCTGATCCTCCTGCCTCCTACTCCTGGGAGCTGGTGTTACAAGTGTACGCCATCATGCCCTGTTCTGTTTAGTGCTGGAGAACAAACCCACAGCTTGGTGCTTGCCTGGCAACTGAGCTCCATCACCAGCCAGACTTACCAGGTCTATTACACTTATTTATTCGTTTAGATATTTTTACCTTATGTGTATGAGTGTTTTCCTTGAATGTATGTATGTATATACCACTTGCATACCTGTTAGATCCGCTGGAACTGGGGTTACAGAGGGTTGTGAGTAACCATCTGGGCCCTGGAATCAAATCCACGTCCTCTGCTCTAATCACTGAGCCATCCCACCACTCCTCACATTTACTCATTTTGTGTATGTAAGGGTATAAGAGTGTACAAATTAGATGGGTGTGGTGGCACATGCCTTCCATCCCAGCTCTAGGAAGGCAGAGGCAGGTGGATCTCTGTAAATTTCAGGGCTAGCCTGGTCCACCTAGTGAGTTCTGGGACAGCCAGGGCTGCATAGCGTGTTTGTGTCCTGGTGTGACTGCGGGGGTCAGAGGGCAATGTGTAGAGCTGGTTCTCTCCTCCAACCGCGTGGGTTCTGCTATCTCCTGAGCCATCTCACCCGTCCTCACCAAAGCTTTAGAATTCTTGGGTAGCATAAGCCACACTGACCTATAAAGCTCATTTCTCTGAAATCCCCATCTACCCAAAGAACGCCAGGGCCGTGGCTTCTTGTCTCCTGCAATAGCTGGTCCTTGATCTAAAAGTTTAAGCTGCTGAGGGGAGGAATGGGGCATGACCTATTTGCCCTCTTGGCAATCAGCTGCCATCAAGTCTCTTGAAGGCTCCAGTGAGAGGAACTACAGAGTGGCTTGGGGTGGCTTGGAGGAGTGGTCTCTTGGAGGCTGAGCGTCTTCAGTTGGGATGGAGACTGCCAGGTACCGGTAGTCCCTGTGAGTCCAGTGGGCTGGTGGGCCTGCCCTGACAGCTTGAAGTGTTTTTCTTTTCTTTCTTTCCTTCTTTCTTGCTTGCTTGCTTTCCATCTTTCTTTCTTTCTGTGTTTTGTTTGCTAGTTTTAATTTCTTTTGAGTCAGGGTCCTGGAACTCTCTGTAGGCTAAGCTGGCCTCAAACTCACAGAGATCTACCAGCCTCTGCCTCCACCTTAAGTACTGAGAATAAAGGTGTGCACCACCTTGTGCCTTTTATTTTTATTCTTGGTTTTCTGCATACTACGTGTGAACACTGGCTCTTGGCTCTTTGGACACTATGTACATGCGTGTTTTGTCTGCAGGTATGTATGTATACCATATGTGTTTCTGCTTCTCGAAAAAGTCAGAGGAGGACATCAGGTCCCCTGGAACTGGAATTATAGATGGTTGCGAGCTGCCACGTGGGTTCTGGGACTCGAACTTGGGTCCTCTGCAAGAACAAGTGCTCTTAACCACTGAGCCATCTCTCCAGCCACAGGTAGCAATTTCATGAGTCAAACAGAAAAGAAAACCAAACTGTTTACTAACTCTTAACCCCAGGTCCTTTGACAAGCTCACAGGATGGAGAAATGGGTCTAGAGCTGTTTACTTTCTCTGTTATTTCCCATTGTCCAGGAAGCGTGGAGCTCTCAGCTCAGGAGGGCCTCAGAGCTATGCTAGGCCACACCAGGCTTGCTGAGGGCATGGGTGTGGGTGTGGGGGATCTGGTTGAGTGCTGGGATTGGCTGCCTAGGTCTAACTTCCACTCCATTGTGCTAGGGTCTCCTCCTTTCCTGTGTTAGCTTAGGTGTGTTTGTGATCAGCCTCTGGGGAACTTTCAGTGGAGGTGGGCAGGGGGAATTCTGTTGCTGTGCTCGGAAGGCATCTCACTGGGATGTTTCAACTATTTCTCTCTCTCCCCTCTCTCTCCCCTTCCTTTTCTATTCTCTATGTAGCCCTGGCTGTCCTAGAAATTGTTATGTAGACCAGGCTGTCTTCTAATTCAAAGAACCTTCCTGCTTCTGCCTCCGGGTTGCCGGGACTGCTGGGATCAAAGGCGCGCCTACTGTCTGCTTGTCTACAACCCAAGAGCCATTTAAATGGCCGGGAAGCTCGTCCCGGGGTGGGCCACCAGCAGCTGGAAACACTCATAAAGCCCCAGTTGGAAACCAGGCTCTCTGATGGTGTTCACCTGCAAGCCGCAGCGGAAGACGTCTGCCGCTTCAAGGGACGGCACATCCTCTTTGGGTAGCACAAAGGGCCGTGTTTGGAAATGATGGAGTGGGGACGTGTAGGGAGAGAGCTGGAGAATAACCACAGAGGGACAGAGCTGAGGTGGCGTTGGGACTGCAGGGTGGACAAAAAGGGAGGAAAATAGAGCAAAATGGGCAGCTCAGAATAGAAGATATAAAGGAAAGTGCCAACTAGTGAAAATCCCGAGAAAGAACGCGCGGGGGGGCTGTGTTGGGGGGCGACTGGGGAACGGTTTAGAAAAATAGCAATTAGCACAGCTAAAAATAAAGACCAATTTCGAGACAAAGCCAGATCCACAAGGAGAAAAATAAAACTCGCCAGAAAGACAATTTCTTGCAAACCAAAATGCTCAAGAAAACGCGGCTAACGACACCCCCCTCCCCTCTTGGGCTGTTCTGTAGAAGAAATGAGAAACTAGATGGGCGTTGAGCAGGTGACAGACACCAGGAGAGGAGCGACGAGCCGAGCCGGGCGCTGGATTCCGGAGCGCAAAGGTCCTCCCGAGACTGCACCCAAGTGTCGTCCAAGTTAAAAATGTGCCGGCGCGCTCCGCTCGGCTCTGGAGCCGCAGAGGCTCGGGCTGCGTTCTGCGAGGTCTGTCCCCGAGCCTCGAAGCCCGGGCACAGGCGTGGCAGGGGCCGGACCGGGTGCCCACTCGCCGTGGCTTGGCTCCCGACCCCGGCGACGCCTCCCAGGCATCCGCGGCGGGAGCAGGCCGCGCGCCCACGGAGTCGGGTGGACCCGGGGGCGATCTGGGAGGTGACTCGGGCCTGGCAGGGACACAGGACGCTGCGCGCCTCCCAGGCCGCGAGGGGAGGGACCGGGCTGCGCGCAGGAGCCGAGGGTCAGCCGGGGCCACCGCGCCCTGCCCGGCGCGGGGGCCGGAGCCGGTGCCCACGGGCGCGGGTGGCCGGGGAGAGGGGAGCGCGGCGGGGAGGAGGCGGCGGGCGGGGCCTGGAGGGGCGGCGTCGCGCGGGCTCCTCCTCCTCCTCCCTGCCCTCTCCGGGCTCAGCCGCCGCGCCGCCCGGCTGCTCCGTCCTCTGGGCGCCCGCGGCGATGTTCACCCGCGCCGTGAGCCGGCTGAGCAGGAAGCGGCCGCCGTCTGGTAAGCGGCCGCGCGCGCCGGGGAGCGGGAAGGGCCGGGTCGCGGGGTCCCCTGGCGCGGCACGGCGGGGCCGCTCGCTCCGTCCCGGTCAGCAGCCGAGCGCAGAGCCGGGGAGCCGCCCGAGGAGGAAGTTGGGCTTGCCGCGGGAGCCACGGCAGCCTTCTCTCTAGAGGAGGTCTGGGAGCCGCGCGAGACACCTAACAGCCCCACGTTCCGAGGCGGCGTGGGAGCCAGGCTCCCCTCCCGCGTGCAGCCTCCTCCGCCGGCCAAACGGGAAGGATGCTTCGCTGGACCTCGGCATCCCCCGGGCGGCGCGGCCCCGCGGCGCCAAAAAGTGGTGTCCCGAGGTGGCTGCACATGAGGGCGGGGGAGGGACTTGTGTGACACGGCGGAGGGGTCGCTCTGTCTTTCCCCCCCCGAACCGGCCCGACCCACAGTTTGGGGCAACTTGGTAAGACAAAGAACCCGCGGTGCGGAAACGGTGGTGTGGATCGTGTCATCCTTTTTGTGGCCAGCCGTGTTGACACCTTCTGTGCCTTCCCTCTTGTCTTCACCCTTAGGACAGCCGCGTCGGAGGGATGGGGCTTCTGAAGCCCGGGTGTTGGGTAACCTGCTCCCGCTCTTGATGGGTCTCTTAAACGTTGGCTTGTTTGCTTGACTGTGGGTTCGGGGTTCACAGGCTCGCTTTCCTGTCGCGGGGAGATTCGCTTCGCGTTAGCCGGTTTCCTCTTCACCTAAACATCAAAAGCGGTTAAGCGACTGCAAGCAGACAGAGACCCGGTCCCACAGCCGCCACTCGCCAGCTGTGCAACTTCTTTGTTGCTGAGGAGAGATGTGCAAAGTGTAGCTTTAAGTGCCTAATTGGAGCCTGCCCTCCACCCATCAACCCATGCAAATCATTTCATTAAATATTGAAGACGACCCCACTAAAGTCAGATTCCATGGAGTTATTGTAAAGAGTTTGCACTGTTCCTGCTACGCATTAGAGCCCTCCATTAGTGTTCCGCAGGCGGCCGGAAGCCTTCGTGAGTGCTGATGGCTGACTCAAGCCGCTAGGTCAGATGCTAGGCACTGGAGTTAAACTTCTGACTCCAGTCTCGACTCTGCCACTCCGCAACACTGAGTAATGGATGGCCTTGGACCTTTCTGTGCCTCAGGGCTGTGCTGGGTCGGTGTGGCTTGCAACAGCCAGTTGCTAAATGTTCAGGGCACCTCGGAACTGGTTGGTAAGCCATCGGTAGCCTGAAATTAACCGTGGGGGACACGGCAACATATGTCAGCCGTGATGAGCCTCTGTACGGTGGGTTTCAGAGAGCTGTGGACCTAACTACCTACCTGTGTTGTTGTTGTTTAAAAATTACATTTCTCACGTGTGCGTGTGTGTGCGCGTGTGCGCGTGTGCGCATGCCACAGCTTGTGGAAATCAGTTCTCTTCTACCGTGAAGGTCCCGGGAATCAAACTCAGGCTCTCGGGCTGGCATACAAGCATCCTAACCCACCGAACCATGCTGCTGGCCCTTAACCACAGACTTTAATTTTGATAAGTATGCGCACACTTTACTGACAGTGGGGTCAGTAGTTACACAGCCCCAGGTGCCATGCTAGACCCGTGGCGGAGGCGTGGGAGCTACTGGATCCCTCTGCTTTCTCTCTCTTCGGATGTAGAGGAGTTGGGACTAACCCTGCATAGGCTGCCTGTCACTTGGAATTAATTGTTTGGCCCGAATGTAATACACACAGAAACCACGGAACCATCACAGATAGGTGGATTTAGGATGCTTTTGCGTGTGGCCAGGTTGCTTTCCCAGACTGAAGGGCAGTTTTACAAATATTAGTGCCATGCCTCTGTTCCAGGGCAACAGACTAACCCTGATGAAGTCTGCCCACACCGCTGATAGAAAGGCCACAAGTTAAACAGAGGGGTTGGGGTTGGTTGTCTGGAATGCAAGAGCCCAGGTTCTTTCTGTGGGTATAAGGTCTGCCAGCCTCGTGAAAGGACACGGGCCCCCAGTTTGGTCACTGTCATTATCACCCAACGGGAAAGGAGGGAGGTGAGGGCCTCTTACAGAGATAGCCGGCAGCAGGCAAGCCAACCGCAGGGCAGCTGAGGATTTGGGGGAGGGGACTTTGATTACTTTTTCCTTGTGGTGCTAGAGGTGTGCCCAAGGCCCTGCATGTGTAGGTCCACTGGAGAGTGACATCCCCACCTGAAACTCACTTTTCAAGGGCTTTTTAAAACACCCGACAGAGGCCCCCCCCCCCCCCCCCCCCGAGCTGGATGCATCCCTTTAAGAGCCTGAGCTTGTAGCTGACTGTCTCGGCAGAGTATTCTCTGTGAGGCCGAAAGAGCCAAGTCTCGTCAGAGATTGTAGGCTGAGAGTTGTAAGCTCCATCTGTTTCTAAGGTTCATAGTTGGAGGGTCTTTGTTGGAGGCTCTCTGTTCTGCCTACCCAGGTAGGGAAAGCGGGCGCTTGACCAAAGTCAGACCCCAGTTCGGTCTTGGGGAACTGAGGGGAGCAGGAACAGCCAGCTTCATTTTTACCAAGTGGTTCCGCTGAAGTGTGAGGACTCATCAGAGGATCCTGTCCCTACCCACAACCTGCTGATAACTGGCAAGATCCTACTTCAGAACCAACGAAAAAGCCACACCCCTGGTTTTTGCTCTATAGCCAGACTGTTGTCAAAGAAGTTCTTTTTACATTGTCCCATTAAACCCTGGGAACAGTTTCAGAGTTATTGCTGGTCTTAAGTGTTTATTTAAAGGTGACAGTCTGCACAGAAATTTAACATGTTGTTTTTTGAGACAGGGTTTCTCTGTGTAGCCTTGGCTTTCCTGGAACTCACTCTGTAGATCAGGCTGACCCCGAACTCATAGAAATCTGCCTGTCTCTGCTTCCAAAGTGCTGGGATTAAAGGTGTGTGCCACCACCACGTGGCATGTATTTCTTTTTTAAAACAAGTCTGCGGTCTTGGCAGTTGGAGAAACTTTCTTTTGTAGAAATTCATGGGCTGGGCCTGGGGGTTGGGAGAGAGTGAGGCTAGCCTGCAAGTGTGGAAGGGCCAGGATGAGATGGTCTTTTTGTCCGGATGACGACAGCTCAGCCTGCTGGGTTAGGAAGAGCAGCCTGCAGAGGACATGGGTGGACAGGAGGTATGATGCGGCTTCAGTAGCTTTGTCTTTGCTCTTCTTTCTACGTTGGTCGTTTCCTAGAGCTTTCATGGGAAGCCAGGCACTTCCCTCCCTGAGCTGACTGATCCCCTTGGTCCCCTCATTCTGGGTTCTGAGAACTTGTTTAGATGCTACTAAATATATTCTGGTCACTTCTGCTTCCCCCAGATATCTGTCCACTGCAGCAGCCTGGGGGCAGCAGTGAGACAAGAGGGGCCTCAGGCCGGCAATGGCAGTAGCCCCTTGCTAAGAGCTGTCAGGAGGCGTCCACCTCGTGAAACAGTCCGTGCAGGCTTCCAGGGACAAATTTCTCTTTGGATCTGACTCTCTTCTCTTGAGGGCCAGGCCTCGTGCTCAGGGTGGCCTTGCTGCCTCTGCACCTGGTCCGTCCCTTTTTTCCTGCCCATTTCCCTGCCCCTCATCCTGCCTGCAGAGGTCCTGGGTATTCCTACCTCCTTCCTACACCTCTGCAGGTGTCCTTTCTCTGCACCTGGCAGTAGCTTGTCTCAGAAGGAGGGAAATTGGATGCCCTGGGTGGGGACTGCTTCAGGGCTACTTATTTCCAAAGAAGCAGACAAGATAACCTGTCTTGGACCCTATCCCGGGGCTACCTGCACACATATCTACTCAACCACCTTGTTAGATATTTAGTGAGCAAATAGGGAGGTGTGACAGTTTCTCCCACGTCCTTTCCCTCCCATCCGGAAAATCCTACTCTTATTTTCTCAATTCAGGACATTTTCTCAATTTAGTCCCAGAGTAAATCTGGGACTGAAAGTCAGGGTTTTCGTTTCTGGCATCTTTTCCTCCTCCTTCCTCCCAGCCATCCCAAGATGATAGAGGCCCACCCCGTCTCCTGGCATCCCGTTGCTTGTTTCCATTCACCTCTGTGTGCCTTATTTCCTTGTTGGGTTACCATACATTCTCGGTGATTCTTACCTGTTTTTAGTAGCTCTTCTCTCTCTCTCTCTCTCTCTCTCTCTCTCTCTCTCTCCTTTCAGTGCCTCTGACTCCTTGATCAGTGCTCAGCTTAGCTCATTCCTCGGAAAGTATCGATCATTATAAGCTATATTCCGGAGTACCAGCTGTGAGGTTGACCCCTGAGGAACACATCGCCTTTGTTCTTAAGAAATGTGTGGCCCGGAGCCTGGAGAGGGCACAGTTGGTGAAGCTGCTTATTCGACATTAGGACCTGGGCTGGACCCCCAGAACCCTGAGGGTGGTGCCTGCTTGAAATCCCAGCACTGGAGAACTGGAGACTCACGGGCCTTCACATCTAGCCCATTTAGCGCTTCCAGGCCGGTGAGAGACTCTATTAAAAGGCCAGGTGGACAGTGCCTGAGGAGAGACACCTGAGGCTTCCTGCACACGCACACACAGGAACAGACACAGAAAGAAAATATGTGGACTGGGGCTGATAGTGTAGCTCAAGGAAGAGAGTGCTTATCTAGCAGGCACAACACGCTGAATTCAATCCCCAGGACGACATAAAACTGGCCATGGTGGACTAGCATCAGAGAGGAAGGAACATCAGAAATTCAAGAGCATTAGCTACACAGCCAGTCAAGGCCGATTGGAGCTATATGATGACCCTTCTCAACACACACATACGTCACACACAGACACAAAACCTAAAACAAGTAAAAAAAAAAAAACAACACACAAGAACAACCTCCCCCCCCCCAAAAAAAAATAAAACAACCAAAAAACTACCACCACTAACCCACTAACAACAACAAAACCAAGCAAGCAAGCAAGCAGTAAAATAAATGTTACGGGCTAATTAATGAATGATGGTGAACTTGGGAGGCTGAGGCTGGGGCTTGCTGGA